AAATTTTAGAGGTAAGATCTGGCCCTGGCTTCTCGTTCAGCGTTGGCATTTGCTTGGTGACAGTACGACTGTTCGACTCTTTGGTTATAATTATCAACACATTGCATCTGGGAAAGAAATACTCTACACTCTGAGAGAAATACAGGAATATTTCTGTTGCTTATAAATCATGATTTCTGTGTTTTATCCTTTAGCAAATCTAATAATGAGTTCACTAGTATTTATTGCGACTTATTTTCAAAACCTTTTAATGCTAATGCTAACTTGATTGTTATGCCGCGAGACAGAAGTGTAAATGGAGTTTGTCACGCTGGAAGCCATTTGACTGCACCTGCCACTTGGCGAAAAAACATCACGTGCCTATCCCTCAATTGAATCTAGAAGAAAACACAAATTGTCTTATATAATTTTTAATAAACGATTTAAAGAATTCTATAAAATTCACTGTTTTCTTCTTTTTTTGCAATTTTGATAAATCCGCTATAATTTGAAAACTCTTTGTTGTTGTAGTTCATCGCATGAAGTGGTAAATGCGGCAGCGTCACCCGATAGAGAAGAACTCCCTGCAGTCAATTCACAAGGGGAGGAGATAGTAACCGCAGGTGTCTCTCATTTTGACTTGAAAAGTGCGCTCAAGGATAGAACTAGTTATAGTAAGCTGCACTCTATGGCGTACTTTATGCATGACGCTGGTCCATATGTTAGGATATGATTTGATATCTGCAAGCTTGAACTTAGCGAAGTTGAAATATGAAGGTATTATTTTGATTCCCTTTGAAATTATTGCGTTTTTGTAGGAGATGTATTGATGGAGACGAATGAGGCAGATTGCTAGAAAAACGCCTACATGGCCAAAATTGTAAAGGATCGACCCTCTTTGAGTCGCCAACATAAGTTTACTTTATTGAAGAGTCATTTTAGACCAGGTGATAACTATGTATTCCCAAAGACCAAACAAAACAACAAGATGAGGTCATTCCAGGCGTCTTGGCTAAAGACCTACCCTTAGCTGGTGTAGAGCGAGTCTGAACATGGTGGATATTGTATGTGTTGTGTTTTGTTTGCGCACTTAACATCAAATATCACGACAGGCGCTCTTGTGAAGTTACCGATGAAGAAGTGGAATAAAGCGACGGGTATCCTTAACAACCACCAAAAAAAGGAATACCATATAACTGCATCACTAAGAGCTGATGATTTTCTTCAGACAGCTGAGAGGCTGAAAACATCGATCACCTCAATCATTGACAATGAAGCTGTAGACATACTGCGAAAAACAGAAAACTTCACCAAAAATAAAGCGAGTGGACTTGCGAACGCCATTTCAAGTTTCTCTTTCATAATCACTTTGTTGACGGCAATGAAATGCCTTTCCATCCTGAAACCCTTGAGTGTAAAACTTCAGAAGAGAGATCTAGATGTCTACGAGGCATACACTATCAGTAATGTCACGGACGATCTCCAGGACATCCGAGAGAACATTGAAGACATCTGGACTGAGTGGTTTGATCTGGCGGTCACTACCGCGGCAAATGTAGGTGTTGTGTTTTCCATCCCGCGCCGGACCAATCAGCAGCAGCATCGCGACAATGTACACCAGACACCATCTGATTACTATAAGAGGGCAGTTGCTATTCCCCTTCTAGACCATCTACAATCAGAGATGAAAACATACTTCAATCCTACTAATGATGCTGTCTTGTCCAGCCTCTTTAATCTTCTTCCTCAGCTGGTAGCTGTCGGAGACAGAAATCCTGACATTGAAGCGGCGCTGGAGTTTTATGAGAACGACCTTCCTTCTCCTCATGTGGTTGATGTTGAGCTCCCGCGATGGAAGAGAAAGTGGTGCAGCACTGAGGATGCCGACCTTCCCACCAGTGCAGTTCAGACTCGCAGCATGAGATCGAGAGGTCTTTCCTAACATCCACACCTTGATCTGCATTTTGTGCATGTTGCCGATACTGTCAGCTGAATGTGAGCACTCATTCAGTACACTAAGAAGGTTAAATACATACCTGAGGTCGACCATGTCAAGCGAACGAGAGTCTGGGCTGGCGTTGATGAACATCAATTACCACCGAGACGTAAATATCGAGGAAGTGATAAACGCGTTCGCTCAGTGGCAACCAAGGCGTCTTCTCTTTGCGTTTCATAAACACAAAAGTCTTGTACGTACGTAATGTAAGGATTTCAGACCAACCGTTTTCGTTGGAACCAATTTGGAACCCCCTCTCCTAGAAATCCTGGCTATCCCCCTGTGGATACCCTTAACGATGCCAAATGGTGCCCTGGTTAACCCCATTGTAATTTACCGAGCGCTCTTACCGAATGCAACGTGGACACTGTGGAACAACAGGTATTAATTGTGCATGTTCACTTACACATCTTTTCTCTTAAGTATTCATGAACCGATTTACAGCTTATATTTGAGACTTAAGCATTACGGAATCGTGCCTGTAGATGCAAATTTTTCTGTCAATCAAATGTGTCCCAGTATTTGTAAGTGGAAATTGGTGATACATCGTTATCGTTTTGGAGACAATAGAAGAACAAAAGATATCAGAAAGATCAAGTTATGCGGTCAAAGCATGTTGAGTGACTTTAATCAGTTGCAGCATTTCTCATAACTTTCCCGCACTAAAACGTTGAAATATAAAGTCTGAAGCTTCACTTATAAAATCGTGATAGCCAAAATAAAAAGGGTGCCCAAAAAGGCAATCACCTGGGAATTCAAAATTGACATTTTTGTCTCCAGCAAAATCCGGTGGATGAACAGTAATTTGCATATAAGTGTAAGTGAGGTGAAATAGATGCGAATTGCCGCAGTTGTAAACACAACGTTTCCTCGAATTTTTTAATTTTTTTTAAAGCGTAAATTCGCCTGAAAGAACTCAGCTTGCACAAAATAATATAAAATGAAATAAAACAAATCGAAAAGTAAGAAAAAAAGTCAGGATATTTCAGT